GTCGTATCTCGGTTGCTAGGACAACATTGGTCAGCTTCGCTAGAACGATGTGCTATCCAAAGTAGATATCTGGTTTCATTAAATTAAATAAACCTCCTGATAACTGAACACCCTGGTCAATTAAATTGGGAATGCAGGGACGATGTAATGGTATGTACGATACCATTACATTGATTTTTGGACATCAGACGCAGTCTGTAACGGCATCTGTGCGTTTCTAAACCAAACTACTAGCGTTAGCGTTTTCCTTACAAATTAAGTTTTACGTGTTTTTCATTGCATACTGTGTAATACTGATACTACTACTAATAATATGAAATAATGTATAATAATAATGATGATAATGAACGGTCGTGAATATTTAAATGCACACTATACACACAAATTAAAATCGGTGTTCTGTCAGAATTTATGACATAAATCTCATCTTTCACTAAACGTACATTACATGAGCTAGACTTTCTCAGCTCTGTTACTAAACTGCACAGATCAGAGCGTGATTTGTTCGTGTAGTATTTATTTTCTGATTTACTATGTGGTTTCAGATGGGTGCTCCCAGTCTCAGCCTTAATACGCTGCTGTACATGTCTAATTGTATATATTAATATGTTTAGGGGCCATTTGTAATATGTCATAAGAACATTTCATAGGGATTAGAACCTACCGAGGTGTGAGAAAATCCATTTGAAAACTCCTAAGATGTTTATTTATGAAAAAACAAATACTAATTCAAAATACAAAACAATGCTCGTTTTGTCCATGAGATGTACTAACAAGTAGTGAAATACAGTGATGTTTCCATCTCCCCTGTCAGGCTGTTCCTGTGTGGGCTCTTTCCCTCCCGCTGCCTGCCATCCTCATGATCACTGTGGGGCTCTATATGATTTTCCTTGCGGCTGTGCTGTGGTGTCATCACTGTCTCAAGGTACTTCAGCATCATTCCTCTTTCTGAGGAAACTTTATAAAACTTTTCTGTGAGCCAAATTCAAATAGAACAATCTTCTAGAATCAATACCTATGGCTGTTGCTATACAGTAGTCTGTCTGTCTCAGATGTAGCCTGATTTGTCACAGCTTCCTTGTTCTGAAAGGCAGTTTAAATCTCACTTCCCACTGTTCTCACTTCTCTCTTTTGGGTCATTTTTGCATTGTGTAACAGCTCTCTGACTTTGCAGGCCAAGTGTGATCCTCGGTGTTCAGATTGCTGCGCAAGTTTCTCTCCTTGTGAGTACTGTTTAGTGTGTGCCCAGTCATGTGACTGCCGTGCACCATCTCTGCAATCCTGTCTGGACTATTCCTGCCCCTCCCCTAATGTAAGTCACACGTTGATTGTCTATTCCTGTTTTAAGCTGAATACACTCTGTATGGCACAGTTTTGCCACGTAAGACTGCAGTCTTTGATCCCATGGTGTGATATACTCTACAATAAGATTTCGTTTGTTAACATTAGTTAATGCATAAGTTAACATGAACTATGAGAATTATATTATTATCATTTTTTTGACCTTTGTTAATGTTAGTTAATAAAAATACAATTGTTCATTCTTTGTTCACGGTTAGTTCACATTGCATTTATGTTAATAGATAAAACTGTTGATTTATATAATAACATTAACATTAACTAATATGAATAAATGCTGTAGAAGTGTTGTTTATTTTTAGTTCATGTTAACTAAAGAACATTTATTGTAAAGCGTTACCAATGCCCAATGTTGGGGAAAGTTACTTTTAAAATTAATGCATTACAATATTACGTTACTCCATTAAAAAAATAAATCTTATTGTGTTAGTTACTTTTAATGCATTACATTATTTTTGCGTTACTTTTTGCCACCTGGGTTGGACTTGCTTAGTTGTTTTTTTTTTGTTTTTGTTTTTTTACAACAGAAATCTCAAAAGTTATATTTTTGGCAACTGTAATGGCCTTTTTACGCCAAAAGTGAAAGTAATAAGCCTCAGGCTAAAGGAAGTGCCTCTGGTCTGCGATTTCTCTCAACACAGGGACAGGAGCGGTGTCTGTGAATAAATGGGAAAGCAAAGTAACTTGCGTTACTTATTTGAAAAAGTAACTCAGATATTTTATTGTAAATTTAAAAGTAATGTGTTACTTTACTAGTTACTTAAAAGGTAATCTGATTACATCATTCGTGTTACTTGTTATGTGTTACCGCCAAGACTGCCTTTGTAACTAATCTTAACATTAAAGTGAAGTGAAAGTGACATGTGGCCAAGTATGGTGACCCATACTCGGAATTAGTACTCTGCATTTATCCCATCCAAAGTGCACACACACAGCAGTGAACACACACCGTGAACACACACCCGGGTGGGAGAGAGCGCTGTACATTCACTCCCCCCACCTACTATACCTGCCGGTACGAGACTTGAACCCGCAACCTTTTGTGTTACGAGTCCGACTCTCTAACCATTAGGCCACGACTTCCCGACTTTTGATGGTATTATCAAATAACTTTATCATCAAAGAACTCGAGTGTTTTTGTTTTTTCTAAATAATAAACAGTTCACAAAATCCTGCCTATCCATGCCTATAAATATGAATAGAACTGGTATAAACCTGTTTTTCTTTATCTTGTTTAATGTAGTGTGCGATGTGGGATTGTGCCTGTACCTGTCAGCCTCCAGAGTGTGACTCCATCAACTGCTTCTGCTTTGAGATCAAGTTTAAGTAGAAGGGTGGATGGGAAGAAAAAAATCCTCCTCATTTTAAAAGATGCCTTAGAAGCTCCAACTCCAAGTTACACTTAAGTATGTTTTAAGCTCTAGAGAAATTGTGATTCAGTCTTTGCCTGTTCTGTAAAGTTTGCATAATTTCTGAGACATTACCGCATCCTTCCTATTTATGATAATTGATTTAACTAAAATAAAGATTAAGATCTTTATTCATCTAGATAGATCCATCTATTGGGAATATACACTGAAAAAAATGTTTGTCCTCAGGGCAAGTTATTTATTTTTCATTGGCTCAAGTTAAAAAATATAGATGTGAATCATTACCCTACATTTTTTTAATTGGATGAATAAAACATTTTTTTTTTCAGTGTACATTGTTTAATTGAATCTTTAATTAATTACAATAAATTAATTGAATTATTAAAAATGGTTATTGGATATATTTCATTCATATCGGGATGAATGAGATCATTCATACCAGGTTTCCAAACAGCTGTAATTCCTGACGTACACAAGCATTGCAGAACAATAAGACTGAGGTGAAAGTAAAGGTTTTATTTTGATGAATTTGTAGCATATGGCTTTAAGAAGTGCCATGAACTTTTAAAACATTACGTTTAGCCGATTTTTACATTTTAAGCACAAAAAGTCCTATTAACTTATTGTGACTTACTACATTTATGTACTTTTTTGTTGTTTATTTTTTTCTAGTTTTCCAGTCAGCAATAATAGCCAGTGTGTTTCTCTTTGGCATCATTGTGTTTGGACATTTGTAAGATGGACATTTGTGCTTCATACAAAGAGAAGTTAGGAATCTATAAACCATATATGCTGTTCAGTGTATCTCATTCTGACACAGATGTCTTTGAAATGTCTGGACTATATGCTCACCTATATTTATATGAGGTACACTTTTATATACATATAGTTCTGACTGACCATTTTCAGATTACATTTTTGATTAGATTTCTTTTGTGATATACTATAATACTGTAAAAGTGTAACAAAAGCTATTTCCTATTTTTACTGATCTAATTGTTTACAGGGCATCATCTCGGTTGTTACATAAGAAATATGATCTAACTATGTGTGCGTATTGTATTATGTGAAATGTGGTACAGTAATGTATGTGGCCATATTTTGAATGCTTACAGCCAACACACTATGGCTTACAAAGTAAACCTGGGGCCGGTTGCATAAACTGTTTAGACTAGTCTTAAAAAGTTAGTCATCTAATTTTTTTTTCTTTAAGACTGGTCATAACTTTTTGAAGTCAGTTATAAAAAGGGAGAATGGTCTCATTTGAATCCAAAAAGAAAGTCATCTAATTTTTTTTTCTTTAAGACTGGTCATAACTTTTTTAATTCAGTTATGACAAGGTAGATTGGTCTTATTTGTAGTGGAAAGGTAAGACTGATTTCCCCTTGGCAACTGCTAGTTGGTCAAACTAGTTCTTAAGACACAGTCTTAACATGGTGACTAAGTTTATGCAACTGGCCCCTGACTCAGTCACTTCTTATCGATGGTCCCTCTGTTGCCTGGCAAAACTCTTTATTTTATTTTATTATTATTATTATTGTTATTTTTTTATAAATATGTGCTATTTTTTGTAAATGGGTTATTTTTTAAATAAATTAAAGTGTTTTATGAGGCTTTGTTTACCGTAAAATTATTATCTGTGGAGCATTGGTGGTGAGATATTAAAAAATTCACTTTACATTCTTTGTTGGATTGTCCTGGATTTTCTGCTTTGTTTATGAAACATGCCATTTTTAAAATTTTCAATTTATTTGTTGGAAGTTTCTATACTTTTCTATAAAGGCTTTCTATTTTCTATTTTCATGTAGCTCTTGCTGATTACAGCGATTATGTAGAGAAGATGTTTGAGAGATGAAAGGTCATGACAGAAGATCTCATGACAGTAGATCCCTTTTCTGATGACAGTAATCTCATAGATAGAGGAGGTTTATAGGGAGTGCATGGAGTAACATCAGAGAACATCATGCAGAAGTTTCATTCCGATTATTGCAGTCATCTGTAGACCACCAGCCCCCCTTTGCATCATTTTTGAATAGGGATTGCATTAATGCATGCTGTAATTCATGCATGTAGCAACAACATTAATAATCATATAACATGTCTATGCCACTCACAGCCTTTCTCTTTAACCTTTCTTTGCTGCATGCCAGTGTGCATGAATGTCACATCGCCCTTCTCCGGTTGCATCGTGGGTTTGCCTGCTACTAAGATTAGCCAAACCCACGGAATGTCAAAGGTCACTTCGTCTGAATAAATACAGGTCATCTGGCACTAGACAGATGTCACAGACTATCCAGACCTCCTCTGCCTTCATTTGGGGAGTATCTCTTGCTCACTTCATCCAAAAACACGGTAAAAATGTGCATGCTCTTCTCTTTTATTCTGTAGTACAAAAATGTAAATAGCAGAAATACGGTACTTGTGTACTATATTATAAGATTATTTTATTTTGTAGGCTTTACTTTTTTATTTGCTTTTATTTAAAGGCATTTGCTCAAATTATTTTCTACTGTTGCACGATTTTGTTTTTATTTCAAATATTAATATTATTTCTATTAATAATAATAATTATTATTATTATTGTGGAAATAATAATAATAATTGTTTTAAAAATAATATACAATAATTATTATTATTGTTTTAAAAAATACATTCATAATTTAGCCAGTGACTGAAGTATTCAATCAAGAAATCATTCATAATTCTTAATTCTCTAAATAACTGTCTTGCTGAAATTTATAATACAAAATACTGATCAACAGAATTTTTTTTTTTTTAAATCATGAATTATGTTAACCAGCTTTACTGACTTTGCTTGGCATTCAACGTTCCAAAGAACCTTTTTAAGACCCCTTTTCACAAATCACAACCTGCTGTATAATGCTCAGCTGGACCACTGGCTTTCAGCCATCAAATTATTGTCTATATTTAATTTGGCCTTTGGTTGAACGCAACTTGAGCAGAGGGTGTTATAGGTTTGTTACTGGAATTTTAAGAACCTCTTGTTGAGGTGTTCTTCAATGTCCATTAGACAGAGAAGCAATATAATATAACATCAGATTTAATTTTATTAAAGAAAAACACACATTAGTGTTAGTTTATAGCCTGTTAGATCTCAGAAACACTGTTAGCGCTCAGAAATAACTGCACACGCATGACAAGGTCATATGTATTCGCTTACATCAATGGAGCACTGCAAAATGTCACTTCCAGCTCTGTTTCCTACATGTGAACTCTGTTACGTACAAGAACATCTACCCCGCCTCTAATTGTAATAAAACCACTCCCCTATTGTTGCGTCACTCTTAAACCCGCCTTCCAAAGCACAGCAGCCAATCATCGTCTCTTCGCCCTGTCAATCAAAACAAGACTCGCGTGCTGATTGGTCCAGCTATCCTCCTGTAAAATTGCTTAATAATTTCCTTCCTGTATTGCATCTTATTGCAACCGCAGAATAACGTGGCTACGCTGAAAGTGTGGTTCGGAAACAATCGCTTCCATAACGTCCATTTAATAGGTGAGTTTTTTTTTTTTTTTATATAAAACGCCGACATCCAAGTAAAATCAAACCTATTTGAACGATGCTAGCTTTTCGCTAACGTTAGTTTCTTCAGTTGTCATGCAAAAATAACAGTTACGTGAGCCGCACAAGGTCATACGTGTTTGTATCTCAAGGACATGTGCATCCAAACTCGTCGAGAACTAGCTAACAAAAAGGTGGTTAGAAGAAAGAAAAATCAGCGCTTTTAGTAAGGTTTACGATTTAAGTACACACCCATATCTGAACCCTTGCTCCGACTCTTTGGTGTTGATTTAACAGTCACCTGATTCATTACTTGGTCTTAGGTGAATGTTTTTGTAATGTGATTCATGTGTTTGTACTGGTATTCTGAATAATTTAATCTCGGAGATCATATAAATGTCTCTCTGTCTCCCACACCTTCCTCCACAGAGTCAAGATGCCTCACGCTTACCCATTCCTCACTCCAGAGCAGAAGAAGGAGCTGAGTGATATTGCTCAGAGGATTGTCGCCCCTGGCAAAGGCATTCTTGCTGCGGATGAGTCTACAGGTACTTTAAGCCATTCAGTTTGTGTTTGTTAGTAACCTATTCTAAGGTTCTTCTAATCTTTCATCTCGAATCTTTGTTCTTGTGCAGGTAGTGTGGCCAAGCGGTTCCAGAGCATCAATGCTGAGAACACAGAGGAGAACAGGAGACTGTACCGCCAGCTTCTGTTCACCGCAGACGACCGCGTCAAGCCCTGCATCGGCGGCGTCATCCTCTTCCACGAGACCCTCTACCAGAAGACAGATGATGGCAAACTCTTCTCCCAGCTCCTTAAGGAGAGGGGCATGGTAGTTGGCATCAAAGTGGACAAGGGTGTGGTTCCCCTGGCTGGCACTAATGGAGAGACCACCACACAAGGTGAAAATCCCATCGCTATCTATAAAATAGATTATCGGGTAGTAAAATTACACATGGTATTTTATAACCTTTCGTATCCACTTAAATGCTGGAATTAGATGGACTTTGTCCAGAACTGAATGGTCACAGTCACTTGCTTATGACTCATTAAATGCTCATTTGCCTCTGCGTTCGCAGGTCTGGATGGGCTGTACGAGCGCTGCGCTCAGTACAAGAAAGACGGGGCAGACTTTGCTAAATGGAGGTGTGTGCTGAAGATCACCCCCACAACCCCCTCAAGACTGGCCATCATTGAGAACGCCAATGTGCTCGCCCGTTACGCTAGCATCTGCCAGATGGTGAGACACTTACAGCTATATATCCATGTGTTTTTTTTTTTTTAATTAATGTTTTCATTCAGCATAGATGCATTCAATTGATCAAAAGTGACAGTAAAGACATTTATAATATTAAAAAAAGATTATTTCAAATAAATTCTGTTCTTTAGAAATTTCTGTTCAAAGAATACTGGAAAAAAGGACAGTTTCCATAAAAAATATTAACCATCACAACTGCTTTTAACACTGATAATAATCAGAAATGTTTCTTGAGCAGCAAATTAGCATATTAGAAAGACTTCTGAAGGATCATGTGACACTGAAGACTGCGGTATTGATGCTGAAAATTCAGCTGTGCCATCACAGAAATAAATTACATTTTAATATATGTTAAAATAGAAAAGTTATTTTAAATGCTAATAATATTTTACAATATCCTGTGTTTTTGATCAAATAAATGCAGCCTTGGTGAACATGAGAGACTTCTGTCAAAAACATAAAAAAATTGTACCCACCCCAAACCTTTCAATTGTATTGAATATTAAAATAATTAATTATACAGTAATTCATGATTATTATATTAAGTTTTATATTTTAGTGCTGTCAAACGATTACTCGCATCCAAAATAAAAAAATTTGTTTACATAATATATGTATGTGTGCTGTGTATATTTATGTATATATAAATACACACACATGCATGTATATATTTCAGAAAAATGTTATGTTAATATATTTATAATATAAATTATGAATATAAATTTAGACATGTAAATATTTTCAAAATATATACTGTATGTGTGTATTTATTTATATATATATATATATATATATATATATAATGAATATACAGATAAAATGACAAAAAATTACCACAATTTTAACTAAGATTAAAATGAAAACAAAGAACTGATCCAGTATGTGACCGAGAAGGTTCTGGCTGCCATGTACAAGGCCCTGTCAGACCACCATGTGTACTTGGAGGGCACTCTGCTCAAACCCAACATGGTGACCGCCGGGCATTCGTGTTCCCAGAAGAACACCCCTCAGGAGGTCGCCATGGCCACTGTCACAGCTCTTCGCCGCACCGTTCCTCCCGCTGTGCCTGGTTAGTAAAGTGACCGCAATTACTCACTCAGTCATGGCAGAGTCTTTATCTTATCACAGGCCTGCTTGATAAATTCTTAAGCATGTAATTATCATCACCTCATACCACACCCCTTTCTCGATGTAGGTGTCACCTTCCTGTCTGGAGGCCAGAGTGAGGAGGAGGCCTCACTCAACCTGAATGCCATTAACCAGTGTCCCCTGAACAAGCCCTGGGCCCTGACCTTCTCCTACGGTCGTGCGCTGCAGGCCTCTGCCCTCAAAGCCTGGGGTGGCAAGAAGGAGAATGGCAAGGCCTGCCAGGAGGAGCTCGTAAAGAGAGCTCTTGTAAGTTTTATTAACTTGAGATCATCTACTGGATACTGATCTGGTTATATGAAAATCCTAGTTTTGTAACCAGATTTTCTCTAATTGCAGTACAAACAAAAAATCTGGCATGTTTTTTTTTTCTAATTAATTTTATAATTATAATTAATGTTCTTTTTTTTATTATTTATTATAAATGGTGTATTTATACATATAAATGTATTTTTAATTTATCATGTCTGTATACGTTATACGATATTTTTTTATATTTTATATAAACATTTATTTTTATTTTTGCTTATTACATAGAATATATATATATATATATTTTGAGATTCTTGATTGTAAGACATGGAGTAATTTGTTCAGGAGGGATTAGCATTTCATATGTGAACATTGTAAAACAACTGTTTGGTCTTGTTGTGTTTCTATCTCCAGAACAACAGCCTGGCCTGTGTTGGGAAGTATGTGTCCGCAGGAGATAAGGGTTCTGCTGCTGGAGAGTCTCTCTTTGTGGCCAACCATGCCTACTAATCACCAGGAAGCCTTTTCCATTTCAATCCTCATCATATTCCTAAAGAATGAATGAACCCCAACGCATCTATACCCTAAACTCATCATTTGACCCATTCCCTTTTTCTTTCTAGTGTTTGCTACTTTTCCATGTGTGAAAACAAAACCATGAAACTAAGAGATCATACGTTTTTGCCCTAATCTCCTCCCTCTTCCTTCTTTTAATAGCACTCCAATGTATTGTAATGTTTACCTCTTTAGAGAAACGTTGCTCTTGTACTTGTAGTACTTATAATAACTGTATTTGACTTGCACAAAGCACATATACCTTTCAGAGGTATATTATTGTTGTTATTGTTTAATATGATACACACTGGGGGGAAAAAAACATTAAAGCATCTTTCACTGCTAACCTAATTTTTGTTTCTTTCATGCTGTTATACAGACAACACATCTTATTAACCTTGTGAACCAACCCAGATGCAAGAATGTCAATTTATAGGATGATTATCACCCTGAGAAGAATCTCTGCTGCTTTACAATTTTCAATTGCAAGATTTATTATCAGTAAGCTGTTTTGTAATTGTCAAGGATGCTTGAGAAACTCTGCTTTCTGAAATATTGAAATATCTATAAATATTGTTTCAAACAAATGGTTCAGGGCAAATATTAAACTGGCCAAAGCATGTGATTTCAGCGAATGAGACTAAGTTACGTCACACTGTTTTAAACCTTTCACACTTTCTCAACACCCTGTAGACTGACATTATCTAGTATCTTTAAAATGTTTTTGGCTCAGTTTATTGGCAGCTGGCAGTAGATGTATGGCCTGAGTTCATGACAAGGAGCTCATAGTGGTTTCAGAAGTGACACATTACTTGCAGAAGCCTTTATGTCAGTGTAATGCATGACTCCACAAGGAAACATGCAATATGAATATAAATTGAACATAAATATATTTTATTACAAATTAATCAATTTGTACAATTTTTCTTATAAATCAAGTAAATTTGCAAGAAAATCTTTTTACTTTTTTTTATATTTTCTTGTAAATTTAGAACATTTGTAAGATAATTTTCTGTTTTGTAAATATTCTTAGAAATCAAGAAATGTTTCTTGAAAATCTTTTACAACTTTAGAAATAAAAGTAAGACAATTTTCTTGTAAATTGAGAAAAATTCTAAGAAGGTTCTAAGTTTTCTTGTGCATCTTCGTTTTCTAAAGTTTCTAGGGCCTAAGAGAAAGGATGGAAAGGCCACTCATGTCAACCCACCAGATGCAAAGCTGACTGAAGTTAAAAAACAGCAAGGTGTTTTCCACGTCTTACTCCATCACCTGAAATAAAAACAGAAGTCATTGCTATTCATCGAAATACATTACATTTAGAGCAAATCTGACATGGAAAAAAAGATTATTATTAAATAATAATAATAATAAAAAGCTAATCTTAGACTTAAATAGACTTAAATTAGTCCTGTTCTCCAGCTGTTCCTCAACAACTGGGAGCACTTCAGAGGCTGGAGCTTCTTAAAGAACATTAGTCTCTATAATGTGTGATTTTCTTAAATTCAAGAAAATTTGTAAGTAAATGTGACAGGCGGTTTTTCCACGTCTTATTCCATGACCTGAAACAAAAACATAAATCAGTGTTATTCAATAAAATACATTACATTTAGAGCAAATCTGACTTCTGCAAAAAGATGATGATTAAATGAAAACAAAAACAAAAAACATTTAGCGAATTCTAGACTCTTACATTAAAGCATTCGTGGAGATGCATCTCTTCCAGATTGAGTCTCTGCTGTGGATCAGGCTTTCAGTGAAAAAAGACAGGAGACACGTCTGATTATTAGCTTGTACTTTATACTTGCTCTCTTTGAAGTTATTGTGCTTTTTTGTCTGATTAACAATTCAAATTGGTCCTCTTTGTTCTTTGATGACTATCTCACCTTGTGACAGGCCAGGTCTGGACCAGGTGCTCTCACTGATCATATGCAGGTCGTCGGCTGTGGGTTAATATCCACACATCATTTCAAGAAGGATGAACCCTAGTGTCCACACAGTCACTGGCTTTGCGGAGTACTTGTCATCAGTCTTGTAGTCCGGTGGACAGTACGCTCTTATTCCTGGAGGAAAGAGACATTGTCTGATGTTTAATACATTTCCAGAGCATGTTGACTAAACATAGGATGTGTTTCAATGAGCTAGTTCAGAAAGAGGTTCATAACACATACCATGGAATGCCATATGGGCAGAGTCCTTCACAGGTGCACCTCACCCGAAATCAATTAATTTGACTTTCATGGTGTCCTGGTTGATGAGCAGGTTCTCTAGTTTTATATCACAATGGAAGACGCCACGCTCGCAGCAAACATTGGCAGCATTAATCACCTGCCGAATAGCATTTTGTGCCGTCCCCTCATCAAGGCTTCCACCATGGAGCTCCACCAAACAAAACAAATCCAAGCAGGGCATGGGGCACTCCAAGACCATAATATAGTGGTCTGTGTCGTTGTGCCAGTCCAGCGGTTTAATGATCTGCGGGACGCTGGGGCCCATATTGGCCATAAATGTCAGGCTGATCTTCATGGGGAGGCGTTTGGGATGACCAGGCTAAAATAAAGAAAATATCACGATAAGATTGAGGTGGTTTCACAAAACAAATCGACTAGTGAGAAATCATTTGTAGTCTGTGATTAACATGAAGATAAGATTTTATAAATTGAAAACAGTGACTGAGAAACTAAAAGATGCAATAATACTCACAACTGGGATGTAGGCCTATGGCATGTGTGGTGTCTTCTCGGCATATTTCATAGCCACCTAATCATGTGCATAGAGCTTATATTACTCCAGTTGTGAATCCTGAACAGATATGCAAAGTTTTGGAAGTAAAAATAAGGGTAAGTAAAATAAAAGGAAACCTTAAATCCATCTTTGCAGCGAGCCCCTGCATGCACAAAGCCAAATACTCCTTCTCCCAGCTTGTAGCCAATTTCATAACGCCAACAGATGTGCCCTAATAAAAGAAACAACTGTAGTTAGCATAAAAATACATGTCACTAAAATGTATTATTATTAAATTATGAAATGTTGATCAGGTGCAAAATACATTTTAGTTAAAAGATACCAATTATGAACAAGAAAACTTGAAATGAAATTAAAAAATGAACTTGAAAATGAGGCTTTATTCTGATAATTTGAGGTCAGGGGTGTTCAGTCCTGGTCCTGGAGGGTCACCATCCTGCAGAGTTTAGGTCCAAAAGCACCTGAAGCCACTCAAAGTTTCCCAGATAACACAGCTCTGCCCCCTGTTGTCTAAAGCAGGGGTCTTCAACGTTTTTCATGGGGCCTCTTAGGTGACAGAGACATCGAGCAAGGACCCCCGATACAAAATGTGTCAAGCAGAGCTACATATTAAACATACAGCCTTAGATAATAATAGAAACTAACCATATTATGATTAAGAATAAATTATGTTATACTGTGTGTATATTATGTTAAGACAGTAGATCAGGACTATGCACATTATTATTGTTGCACATGTATCGCTGCCTGTATATTACATTTTTTTTTTTTTATTGAGACTTGGCATCAATAAAAAAAAATAACATGTTGAGATAAAAATCACAATTCATTAGGCCTAGTTGTTTGCAGTTGTTGTATATTATTTTAATGGATTTGCAGAGTCAGACATTTTAATTTTACTAGTCAGAAGGGCAGTTATACATTTACCTGAACTTCCGCTAGCCTAAGTTTATTAAAAATTCACATAAATAAATAAATATTTACTCAAATTTTAGCGTCAAGCTTACTAAAACTTCACATTTTATTTTTACTATATGTCCCAAAACACACTACATGAAACCATTTTTAATGGATTTAATGGTTAAAAGTTGATGGTTTGTAAGGTTTTTATGATATTTGTAGTGGAAACCATTAGAATTTCTGTGATGGTTTCGATCGGGGTTTTTTTCAGCAGGGACAAGGCATTATTTTTTTTTACAAATAATTGGAATGGTGGAATAAAAAAAAACACTTTGATGCGAATATTTTTCTATTAATCTTAATAGTTTGCATTTAGATTGTGCATATCTATTTTGACATGCCATATTTTTGTCCCGTGCAAGTATCATTATGTCAATTGCAGCTTCAGAGTGAATCACGCATTTAGATGTCACTTCCAAAGACCGCTCACTTTACAATCACTAAAAAGCTGTCACTCATCTTAGTTCACGATCTCAGAACGTTCTATTAAAATCAATAAAGTTGTCTACACTGCATAATGAATCTCTTATTTACGTCGTGTCGTTGTTTGAGAGACGATTGGCCAGAGCGAGCTTAAAGGGGTCATATGATGCGATTTCAATTTTTCCTTTCACTTTGGAGTGTTACAAGCTCTTGGTGCATAAAGAAGATCTGTAAAGTTGCAAAGACTAAAGTCTCAAATCCAAGGAGGACTGTTTCCTGATCCTGTTAGAGTAGACTACAATTCCGGCTGTTCTGACTCCAGACTGTAAGTAACTTTTTTATATTTAAAGGATTTGCCACTGACGATTCAAACGCGAGTTTTGGGCAGTGAGTAGCACTTGTTGTTTGTCATTTCTCTGATCACAAATGCAGACATGGTTTTATGTTTATGGGGCGCGATGCGATGCAATGCAACGTGTAAAAAGACAGTATAAGTCATTATAATCCGTAATTATGTCCCCACTGGATGCAACAAATGCCTCGTTTATAATGGGTTTTCATGTTTTTGTCTCGTCGTGCCGGGACCATAGACCGTAAAAAAACAGGCCGGGACACACGGAAACACAATATGGTAGGGGCGTAACATTTCCGTCACACGCTTGAGGTATTCGGCCAATCACAACGCACTGGATAGCTGGCCAATCAGAGCACACCTCGCTTTTCAGACCGATTAGCTTTGTAAAAATCGACGTGTTTTTTTAACCTTAAACCGCATAAACACATTTCATTACACCAAATACGCAAAATAATGTTCTTTTTAGCAACATCATATGACCCTTTTAACTCATCACCGAGCAGAAACTCCGGCATTTTGAGCGGTGAGGGGATTCTAACTTAAATAGCTCTGATTGGTCATTGCATTCAAGAGATCATCAAACATGTCTGTTATTGGCTACATTTCTCACAGCTGTATAAAAAAAAAGAAAAAAAAAAAGAAAAAAAAAAAGAGAACCAGAACTCAATCTCAAAAACGCAATGGAGTGTTTTCTAAAACTGTTTCGCCAATAATATCATATTACAATATCAACTGAGGGTGCTCCTGCTTTCGTTTTGGGGTGCTTATATTTAAAAAAAAAATTAAATGTTTTTTACTCGTGTTTTAATTTTTGTAACAAAAAATTATTTGTGATTAAACATTAATTTGCGGGCCCCTGGTTGAAGACAGGGATACAAAAGCCAAATCAACCTGATGCATTTCTGAAGACTGGCCAGCAGATGGAGACAGTGATGTTGATAATAGAAATGGGCAGAAGTGCTTAGTCAGGTGTCTTGTGTGTTCACAAATGGGTTTAACAATGCTAAAAAAAAAAAAAAAAATTCACATGGCGCAAATATTCTTATTACTATGAATATTCTTATTACTATAGTATATTCTATATTAATATTATTTAGTACTATGAATAGTTGGGTAAACGTCTATGGTGGTGAATGGGACATTACAGCAAAAATGATTTTGCATTCCCATTTGCTCCAACAGCAAAACAAAAACATTCATGATAGCGTTTACACAACTTTCCAAAGGATTTTACTGTCACTCTCTCAGCTTTTGTATTAGAAACACACTTGCTGCAGTGTTAACTATAACTAGTTATTATTATTATTATTATTATTATTACTACTATTATTATTATTATTACTACTACTATTGTTATTTAATGCCTAAAGGCTATGCAACACAAAGTATGATTTAAAAAAATGAAAATATAAAAGACTTGGCCAGATTTAGAATGTTAAAAAACTGTGGAAATGCACCAAAAGAGTCCATACATAGCACCAGTTAAATTTTTTTTTTTAACTGACTAAAAACTGTGGGTTACTCCTGTGACATTTTTTGTGCTGATGTTTTCTCTGTTTCAGTGATATCTGACATCTTTCCTGTAGAAAACAAGAAGTCAGGGTTTAGAATGGCATGGTTAGGCCTTGCTGGTACTGGTAGGTGTCAAACATCATCTGGCTGCAAGTATAAGCCAGTTCACATTTCTTAGTTCACATTTATAATAGCTGTGTATTCTGTCAGAATATTAAACATTTTGCAGTCATATTTTATTCATATAAATATATGGGAAAAAAATACATGGTTACATTTGTTTTCATTATCAATATTTTTTGTCGAGCACCCTGTTTGAGAGTTTTTCCAGTGATGTAATTGCTTTTGTTTTGTTTTGTTTTATTTTGTTTTTGCATTCATAGAAATATATGAAATTAAATGGACTTTTTTTGTTGTTGCATTGATGTCACAGCTCAGGGTAGTGAAGGCCTTGTGACTGTGGCACATTTTGTGGTGCTACTAGTACCAGACATAAACATTGTCAGCAGGTCGTGACATTACTTTCCACAGCTTTTACAGATCAGGTAAAAAAAACAGCTGATAACATAAGCAAATATGACAAATTTCTAATCATATACCTTTAAAATGATCGCTCTCTCCAGTTATTATAGACCTTCTTGCCATAAATGTACTAGATGTGATTATGATTTTAATAGATATAGGCTATTTACAAGTCTCTGTTGGCTGCAGATCTTTTTCTTGTAACAAGAATTACCCAATATATATGTATTTACATGATTTAAAGCAATGCAAAATAAATTGAATAATTTCAAATACCTGTATGTACATATGAAGAGTTTATTTGCAAAAACAGATTTTAAATGTTCAAAAATCACGTTTTTTTATCATGTTGTCATGTTTTTATTGTGTTTTATTGTGTCAGTTAGCTGTATTTTTTTGTTAATTTTTAACCTTATCAAAATAACCCAACTGCAGTTTGATTGAGATTCATTGGAATGCACAATGAAAAAACATTATTTTTCTTAAAATTGTTAAAAACGGAGTTATCTGTTTTTGCAAATGAACTCTTCATATGTTGTACATTGAGAACTGTAGTGTGGGTGGGAACTATTTACGCGTGGCGGCGGATGTATTTGTGTGCAGCACCCGCTGCTGCTGCTGTGATTATTGCTGGCGCTTGTCAAAATGAAAAGTGGAAGGCAATGGATTCGTTGTTCTGTTTTTCTGTTTATCTGACATAACATCGCTACGGATGAGCTATGGTCATACAGATAGGCCGTTTTTTATGAATCTGCAATGTTTATGGATGTCTGCAGTTATCGTCTCACGGCGAGATATATATAAAGTTTATGTGACAATTTTTCGCTGTGAAAGCCAAGGTCGCAATGGATCGAGCAGTAAACTCCGGCCCTGTCAATACAGCCGACACTGGTAGGATGGTTGTTGACATTTTTTTTTTTGTGGCATTTTATGATATATAAGTTTTATCTTGAGATGTGTTTATCTGTGTGTCTCCAGGTTGTCAACGCTGGAGGAATTGGATTGGATTTTGGTAAGTGAATCCTCTGTTAACTTTTCTTCAAATAAGTGATACAAAATATGTAAAGTGATCTTTATTATCTCTATCTAGGCTACTGGGACTTTGCAATAACTTCGCATATGTGGTGATGCTGAGTGCAGCACATGACATCTTACAAAAACAGGAATCTCAAAACACAACGACACCTGTAAGACATTTCTGAGCTTATTAACTTATTATAACTAAGTTATCAAATATACTTGAAGAGAATATAATATTAGTTAAAATTAACTAAGATCCCTTGTGTTTACTTGAAGTACACTTTCATGGCTGTTTATTAAACATAAATGCTTGCCAGTACATTCATCAGTACACTTTTTTTAACCATATTTCAAAGACAATAGAAGTAATAATGAAATTACATATAAAGATAAGTCCAATTTATGTTTAAAAACTCTCTCAGTTCAACTAATTGCATGTCATATAATTGTAAAGTACAATACAGTTTAATTTAATTCAATTCTGAAAACATTACACCCGCAAGTATATGTTTTTCGGTATATTATTTCCATATGTACTCTTTTTAAGAGTGTGCTAAAGTGTACTTCTTTTTCGCAAAAATGGACTACTCAGTGTTTCTTGTTTTGTTCTTTCCTTAGACTCCTGCTCCAAATGGGACTAGCATAGAGATCAGCAACAGCAGCCGCTATGACTGCAATGCTGTGTCCACTGCAGTAAGTCTGTCTGTCTTTCTTTTTCTCTTTGGTTTTTTGTTTCACCTGTACAGACTTGTACAATGAAAAAACATTATTTTTCTTAAAATTGTTAAAAACGGAGTTATCTGTTTTTGCAAATGAACTCTTCATATGTTGTACATTGAGAACTGTAGTGTGGGTGGGAACTATTTACGCGTGGCGGCGGATGTATTTGTGTGCAGCACCCGCTGCTGCTGCTGTGATTATTGCTGGCGCTTGTCAAAATGAAAAGTGGAAGGCAATGGATTCGTTGTTCTGTTTTTCTGTTTATCTGACATAACATCGCTACGGATGAGCTATGGTCATACAGATAGGCCGTTTTTTATGAATCTGCAATGTTTATGGATGTCTGCAGTTATCGTCTCACGGCGAGATATATATAAAGTTTATGTGACAATTTTTCGCTGTGAAAGCCAAGGTCGCAATGGATCGAGCAGTAAACTCCGGCCCTGTCAATACAGCCGACACTGGTAGGATGGTTGTTGACATTTTTTTTTTTGTGGCATTTTATGATATATAAGTTTTATCTTGAGATGTGTTTATCTGTGTGTCTCCAGGTTGTCAACGCTGGAGGAATTGGATTGGATTTTGGTAAGTGAATCCTCTGTTAACTTTTCTTCAAATAAGTGATACAAAATATGTAAAGTGATCTTTATTATCTCTATCTAGGCTACTGGGACTTTGCAATAACTTCGCATATGTGGTGATGCTGAGTGCAGCACATGACATCTTACAAAAACAGGAATCTCAAAACACAACGACACCTGTAAGACATTTCTGAGCTTATTAACTTATTATAACTAAGTTATCAAATATACTTGAAGAGAATATAATATTAGTTAAAATTAACTAAGATCCCTTGTGTTTACTTGAAGTACACTTTCATGGCTGTTTATTAAACATAAATGCTTGCCAGTACATTCATCAGTACACTTTTTTTAACCATATTTCAAAGACAATAGAAGTAATAATGAAATTACATATAAAGATAAGTCCAATTTATGTTTAAAAACTCTCTCAGTTCAACTAATTGCATGTCATATAATTGTAAAGTACAATACAGTTTAATTTAATTCAATTCTGAAAACATTACACCCGCAAGTATATGTTTTTCGGTATATTATTTCCATATGTACTCTTTTTAAGAGTGTGCTAAAGTGTACTTCTTTTTCGCAAAAATGGACTACTCAGTGTTTCTTGTTTTGTTCTTTCCTTAGACTCCTGCTCCAAATGGGACTAGCATAGAGATCAGCAACAGCAGCCGCTATGACTGCAATGCTGTGTCCACTGCAGTAAGTCTGTCTGTCTTTCTTTTTCTCTTTGGTTTTTTGTTTCACCTGTACAGACTTGTCCCACATTTAAAGGGGTCATATGATGCTTTTTTAAAGATAATTATTTTGAGCTTGTAACACTCCAAAGAGAAAGGAAAACTTGAAATCGCATCATATGACCCCTTTAAGTGTAAGTTTAAATATTTGTTCATAGAGTGACACCTTGTTTTCTTTCTGTTTCTAGGCTGTGCTGTTGGCTGATATCTTACCCACCCTCCTAATCAAATTCACAGCACCTTTCTATATACACAAAGTGCCTTATGGGTAAAGTTGGCCAGCACTTCTTTATCTGAGATCTAATTGCAAACATCCATCAGCATCTTGAAACAGGTTTAGCTGGTTAGATAAAATTATGTAATACTGTGATAAGAGATGAATTGGCAACTCTGAATAGTTGCGTCAAAAGAGACGAGGTCTGATTTTGTTTGTTGCCCTTTACAGTGTGGAACACAACAGAAGAGCTACTCCTTTATTATTAATAATGTGCTGTTTAATAATAATTGTGTTTTCATTTTCCTTTCACAATGAACAGATTCCGTGTTTTGGTGTGTTTCTTTACGGCAGTGGTCAGCTTCCTGATGGTGTCGTTCTCTTCAACTATATTGATGAGTATATTTGGTAATGAGCATGTGTGTGCATTCCTCTTCTGAGCTGGATTAATGAGATTTGATTAATGTTGTAATGAGTCTTTGGATTTTTCCTCAGGTGTCGTCTTTGCCAGTATTAGTTCAGGATTGGGGGAGCTTTCCTTTCTCTCCCTCTCTGTGTTTTTCAGCAGGTAAAGCCTCCTAGAAACCCATTCATTTAAGATGTGTTTAGAATAGGATACTATTGTACCTGCACAGTATGCACTGTTTTTGAAAACATTATGTGAAAGTGAAAGATGTCATTATGCACACGTTCAGGTGTTATCTGTGGTAATTACAGCAGTTATTTTTTTATTTTGCACCCACAAACAAACTTCAGTCTGACTGAATAATGAGATATAATAAAGTTTCAGTTATGCTGTAAAAATATAAGGTTTAATTAAGTGCCTTGCATTGTGTGCAATATTTTTCTAGTTTGCTTTGTTGAATACTCACATTTTGTGAAATGTAGGCATTTTATGCATGCAGAAAATTTGCATACTGTGCACAGTATGCTCTACTGGTCTGTAAGATTCTTTAATTAATGTTTTTACTCTGCAAGGATGCATTAAATTGATCAAAAGTGGCAGTAAAGACATTTACTGTATAATGTTACAAAACATTTCTAAATGAGGGATTGAATATGTCCCAAACTAACATTTCTAAACTAAATGATGTTCTTTTGAACTTTCTATTCACCAAAAAAAATCAGCATATTAGAATGATTTCTGAAGGATCATGTGACACTGAAGATGGCTGCTGAAAATTTAGGTTTATCATCACAGGAATAAATTACATTTAAGATATATTCAAACAGAAAACGGATATTTTAAATTGGAATAATATTTTGTAACAAATGTAATGATATTAATAATATTGTACAATTTTTACTATATATTTTGATCAAATAAATGCAGCCTTTATGAGAATAAGAGACTTCTTTCAAAAACATTTAAAAAGCTCTAGTCGCTGATCTCTCTTTTTACTTGCTGTTGTTTATCAATACTTTGCATCTGTGTTTCTGTCTCTTTAAGGGATGTGTTAAGTGGCTGGGGGTCTGGCACGGGGGCAGCAGGAGTAGCTGGAGCTTCCCTCTACTCTGCATTTACACAGGCTGGTCTGACCCCACAAGTTACGTTATGGATCATGCTGGTTGTGCCTGTTATTTTGGCTGTCAGGTCAGCAGAACTTTCTCAACTCCCTGGGGTTGCACCTGTTAAGAAGATTCACTGCATAAATGTATCTTTTCCTCTTATGATTTCTTTCAGCTATTTCTTTCTCCTGGTGTTCCCATCCTCATTTCCACAGTGGAGGCGGCACGAGGATGGTCACAGTACTTCCAGAGTGGTAAACTCCCAGGAGAGGCGTCCCTTAATTGAGGAAGAGGACGATACTGAGACAACTCAGGAAGAGCAAGGTGTGTATAGTTAGGAACTCGTTGCTTGCATTGTTGCAACTTGGGTAACACTTTATTTTGATAGTCCACTTTAGACATTCTACTAACTATAAGTAACTATGCAACTACATGTCTACTAACTCTGAGTAAACTGTTACGTTTAGGGTTAGTAGAATAAGTTGACATATACTTGCAAAGTTTCTGATAGTCAGTATGTTGTTGACCCATCAAAATAAAGTGTTAGAAGATATTAAGCAGACAGTCTACTAATACTCTAATGACTGCTAGTTGACATGTAGCTGCAAAGTCACTTACTGTTCGTAGAATGTCTAAAGTGGACTGTCAAAATAAAGTGTTAACGCAACTTTTCATGCTCATGATGTGTATGATAATCCATTCAGATAACTGTACTGGCCATGCTTTCTTTCTTTCTGACAGAGGACAAGCACATCAGACCCCTGTCCTTCACTGACAAAATATATATCATGAAGGTTAGACCTACTTTGTACCTGTATATGGTCCTTAGTTTGGTATTTCTTGTCTGCTTAAATTACATTGCGTCTGCTTTTAATATATAATGGAATTTAAAGTTGCACTAAGCAATTTTTGCTTGATTATCATTATTGCTTGAGATATTACTTATTTATTCACTGACCTTGTGCACCTATCTGTATTGAATACAGTGCATTGTTTTCATTACCGATGCTATTTTAGCATTACATTTTTGACATAGCATGCATATTTGTCACATGATTATTTTTTTCTTCAAAAATTATAATTACTATAAAAGTAGCATAATTGTATAGAGTTACTGAGATATTATGTGTAATATTTAGTTAGTCATGCGACATTAGTTTCCTAAAATACCTGTTTTCTAGGCCACTGAACACCAGAAATGCTGGTCACTTCTTCCGGTGTTACATTTTTTTTTTTTTATTACTTGGTGCGCATTTAAAGTGTGAACATAGCTTGTGTGTGTCATGTAGATAGCATTATTTGTGTGTTTATATTGTTTTGTTTGCACCTTATTGTGCTGCAGTCGGAAAATGCACTTCCTCTTTGAGTCTGTAGTCTTTCAGTGTGTTCCTACCCATGTGATCTCTTTCAGGGTCTGCTGAAGTTTATTATTCCTCTTGGTGTGGTTTACTTTGCTGAGTATTTTATTAACCAGGGACTGGTGAGTGTTTTCTGTCACAGTCTTAGTTAAAAGTCATTAAGAGCGAGACCGCAATAGAACAATCTGTGATCACTGATACTGAATATCAATATCTATCCATCCATCTCTCCAAAATCAGTTGGAGCTGCTCTACTTCTCTGACTCCCATCTCTCACATGCAGAACAGTATCGCTGGTAAGACACATCACTTCCTGACTTCGTGTTTTTGAATGACACTACCTTTCAAAATGTTGTGTTCAGTAGCATTCTTAAGTCTTTTATGCTCACCAAAGCGTAAAAAAAAACTTTTGATAGGCAGTGTATAGGTTCCTACTCAATCAAAAGTCCATCTGATGATTGAAGGAAGTTTAAGAACTGACAAGAACTGGCTCTTTACTTATTAATTTTTAAACCCTATTTAAGTTTTACAGAGGCATTAAAAGAAAAATAAATCATCCACAACTACATAAGAAAGAAATCATAAAATATGGATACATACAGATTGTTAAACTAAATAAACAATTATTAAAATGATA